CTGGAGAATCTGAGATAACAAGGTGTAGAGCTGGATGAACACAGCAGGCCAAGCAGCATCAGAGGAGCTGGAAGGCCGACGTTTCGGGCCTAGACCCTTCTTCAGCATTACTGCATACAGCATACTGCATTAGAAATGAGTGCTGGTTGATTGGTAAGTAGACTGTGATTGGTAGTGATGTTGCCATGGCAAACGCAATAGGGGACTATTGTGTCCCACACTTCCGTTTCACTCAAAAAAGGCAATGTTTGAATGAAAATCTTTGACAGCACGTCCCTTTTTTCCAGCAATATTCAACTTCCAGACTGTGAAGAGACTATTCACCCAGATTGCTGAAGAAATGTGGTATCTTGCAATATATCTTTCTTCTTTTTTGTCAAATAGGACATTTCTTTTTTATTGGCAAGTATCTTCAAGGACCTTTACACAGGAGATGTTATTGGGAAGGAAATAATAAAAAACCTTGTAACGTCACGTGGTGGAGATGATAAGTACCACGAGCAATTCGTGCAACAGCTACAAGAGGTTTGATGACCCTTTTCTCCTTCCTTATTTTTGCCTTCATTTTACAGGGTTCCTTTTTAAGTGTTTCTTTTCAAAGATTCTTTTTTTCAAATTGCACTTGATTGCTTGCCTCCTCCTCCCTTGAAGATGTTCACTCTTTCCTCAGTGTGACACATTGGGCACTGCAGTTCTTGGTCAACTGATCATACCTAGAGCAAGTGCTGAGGCTGTGAGTGCCAGCAGTGTAACTCAAAAGTGAGAAGCTTGACAGGTGAGCTTATTATAGCTCTCCTTGATATCCAAAAAATTTGACCATTCCAGAATTAAGTCACTGGAGCAGGAACGGTGCTTAATTTTCCATTCTTTATCCCAGGACCTGATGGCATATATGCAGCCTGTCATTCTAGCTGAGCTGAGAACAGATAACAGGTGACAAATCTGGGTCTCTATAGCTTACTACTACAGATACACTGTGAGTGGAGGTGGTCTAGCCTGGGTCTTTGAGTGGAGATCCTGTAATGACACACCATTTTAGGGTTATTGACACCAGCCTTTCTTCTGCCACACTCCCTTTCCATCTGTTATTCTGTCATTTATATTTCCTTTGGACACATCTTTTGTTTCTATGTGCAATATTAACTAATTTTGACTTGCACCATAATCTTTTAAATCATTTAAATGCTTCCATCCTCCATGTTTATTGCAAACTGTCTTCCTTTTTGTGGCTTCCTGCTTTTTCTTTCCTCTGAAATCTGTGCTCATTTTAAAACCATTTTTCACTAACATCTTTCAATACTGATACTTGACCTAACCCTATCGAGAGGTCATTGATTTGAAGCATCATCTTTTTTTCTTATTCCAATAGATTTAAGTGCTGGGCGTTTCAACCATATTCTGTTTTTGCTTTCAGGCACATATGGTAGTTTGTTTTTGTTTTCTTTTTTATTTGCCATATTTTGGCTTTGCCAGGTGGATGTTTAGAGTAATTTCTTCTCTTCATTTTTGCAGTTTTTCTTTCATACTCATTGGTCTCCCCCAAAATCTGATTCTTCCAAGTGTCAAAAAATAGCTCAAAGTAAATTTGCATTTACTTCAATCCTTAGGGAGCTTAGGTTAGAAGATTTATATGTGGTAAACTCCTGAAATGTAAATTTATATCCAGGATCCACCATAAAGCTGCTGTACCTTTGTGTTAGTCCATAAGTGGAGGACTTTTTAAAAAAATTCATTCACAGGATGAGGGCAGTGCTGGCTAGGCCAGCATTTATTGTCCATCCCTAATTGTCCAGACAGCAGTTAAGAGTCAACCACATTGCTGTGGGTCTGGAGTCAGATGTAGGCCAGACCATGTAAGGATGGCAGTTTCCTTCCCCAATGGGCATTAGTGCGTCAGACTGCTTTTTCCAACAATCGACAATAGTTACCTGGTCATCATTAGATTCTTAACTCTAGATTTTCATTGAATTTAGGTCCCCAGAACATTAGGCCTCTGGATTAACAGTCCAGTTATAATACCACAAGGCCATCACCTCCCCTAGGTTACACTGGAGGTTTTGGTTACAGATGATCAGTTCAGAACAGAAGCCACAATAGGGTCAGTCAGTATCTGAAGGAGTTAAATAGGTCAAAATTTTACTCAGTGATCCTCCATCAGCAGTGAACTACTTGAGACATCACCAACATGTAAAAATGGTTGTAGAATGATTAATTTTAATGATTGCTAAATAGATTCACGCAGAGTATGACAAACGGATTGCAGAGGCAGACACAGTTGAAAAACATATAATCCAGGCCCGGGCACGAGCCACAGTGGCAGAGGAGAAGGCTCTGAATAAAGGAAAGGAGAGTGGAATTGACCAAAAATCCCTGGATAATAACTCACTTGGATTGCCAACAGGTAAAACCTATTTGTCACATCACGTTAGTGGTAGATGGGAAGACATCACACTTAACAAAATACAAAGACGTCTGTCTTATTGTCTTCCCTTCCCATCCTTGATAAGTTGATTTCTGACTGAATCTGGTTCCACTGGATTTGCTTATCTTCTAGTGTTTCACCAGAGTCTGTTCTTGCAAGGAATGTAGATGGACTGGGAGCTAGGCATTGAATAGCAAATGACAAAATGTTGGTTTATTAAAACCTGACATAGCTTTGATGACTTCAGGACTTAACCAGTGCATATCTTGAGGCTAGTGGGTAAACCTTGAGGTATTTTTGATTTGCTTTCATTCATGGGATGAGGACATCATTGGCTAGGCCAGCATTTTATTGCCCAGAGGCAGGTAAGAGTCACCCACATTGCTGTGGATCTGGAGTCACATGTATGCCAGACCACGTAAGCATGGCAGTTTCCTTTCCTAAAGGACACTAGTGAATTAGATGGGTTTTTCTGACCGTTGACAATGGATTCATGGTCATCAGTAGACTCTTAATTCCAGATTTTTATTGAATTCAAAATGCACCAGCTGCCATAGTGGGATTTAAACCCATGTCCCAGATTATTACCCTGATCTCAGCAATAATACCACTAGGCCTTCACCTCCCAGATACATGTAGGTGAGTTCAATAAATATGCAACATGAAAAAGAGTGTCTAAGGTAAACATTGGTCCCTTAGAGGATGAGAAGATTAATGAGGATTTAATTGGAAATGAGGAAATGGCTGAGGCATTAATCAGGTATTTTGTGTCAGTCTTCACTTTGGAAGACACCAATATCATGCCAATAATTAATGACAAGGAGGCTATGGCAGGTGAGAACCTAGAAACTATCATTATCACTAAAGAGGTAGTGTTGGGCAAGTTAATGGGGGCTAAATTTAGACAAGTCTCCTGAACCTGATGGAATGCATTCCAGGGTACTAAAAGATATGGCAGGGGAAATAGCTTTTGGTAATTTACCAAAATTTGGTGGACTCTGGAGCAGTTCCAGCAGATTGGAAAGCAGCACATGTGACGCCACTGTTTAAGAAAGGAGGCGGACAAAGGCAGGCAACTATAAGCCTGTTAGCTTAACTTCAGTGGGAGGGATAATGTTTAAATCTATAATCAAGCAAGAAATAGCACCCTGGGGCAGACACAGCATTGGTTCATGAAAGGTAGGTCATGTTTAACTAATTTACTGGAATTCTTTGAGGACATTATGAGCACGGTGGACAACAGGGAACCTGTGGATGTGGTGTATCTGGATTTCCAGAAGGCATTCGACAAAGTACTGCACAGAAGGCTGCTACGTAAGATAAAGGTGTTAGATGTTATGGGTTATATATTAGCTTGGAGAGAAGATGGTTAACTAACAGAAAGAGTGAGGATAAACGGGTGTTTTTCCGGTTGGTGCTCAGTGGCTAGTCGTGTGCTCAGGGACCATTGCTGGGACTGCAGCTGTTTACAATTTACATAGATGATTTAGAGTTGGGGACCAAGTATAGTGTGTCAAAATTTGCAGATGAGACGAAAATGAGAGATAAAGCAAAGTGTGCAGCGGAAACTGAGAGTCTGTAGAGGGATATAGATAGGTTAAGTGAGTGGGCAAGAGTCTGGCAGATGGAGTACAATGATGCTAAACGTGAGGTCATCAATTTTGGTAAAAATAATGGCAAAATGGACTATTATTTAAATGGTAAAAAAAATTGCAGCATGCTGCTGTGCGGAAAGACCTGGGTGTCCTTGTATATGAGTCACAACAAGTTGGTTTGCAGGTACAGCGGGTAATTAAGAAGGCTAATGGAATATTGTCCTTCATTGCTAAAAGATAGAGTTTAAAAATAGGGAGGGTATGCTGTAGTTGTATAGGGTGCTGGTGAGACCTCACCTGGAGTACTGGGTATAGTTTTGGCCTCCTTATTTGAGAGAGGATGTACTGGCACTGGAGGGGGTGCATAGGAGGTTCACTAGATTGATTCCAGAAATGGGAAGGTTGCTTTATTAGGAGAGATTGAGTAGTCATGGACTGTACTCAATGGAATTTAAAAGAATGAGGGGGGATCTTATAGAAACATATAAAATTATGAAGGGAATAGATAGGATAGAAGCAGGGAGGTTGTTTGGACTGGTGGGTGAACTTAGAACGAGGGGGCATATCATTAAAATAAGGGGGAGCAGATTTAGGACAGAGTTGAGGAGGAACTTCTTCACCCAAAGGGTTGTGAATCTGTGGAATTCCTTGCCCAGTGAAGCAGTTGAGGCTACCGCTTTCAATACTTTTAGGCAAAGATAGATTTTTGAGCAGTAAAGGAACTAAGGGTTATGGTGAGCGGGCAGGTAAGTGGAGCTGAGTCCATGAAAAGATCAGCCATGATCTTATTGAATGGCACAGCAGGCTCGAGGGGCCCTGATAGCCTATCCCTGCTCCTTTTTCATATGTTTCATATGTTCATGTTCTGGTTGCTGGTAATCATGTATGGAGAGCTAAGTGATTGAAGATTTAACCTGCTTTCTGGCCTTCACAGCCAGTGTGCAGGACCTTTGGAACATGTCTGGATCAGTAAGGGGTTAGCAGGGCTGTGAAATTGATAGGCTGGCAAGCCTGTAAGCACTGAACTGTGACACCTGCTACATTGCCTTACTCCCAGAAATAAACAGAAATAAAAGTTAAGATATTGTTTAAGAAAATTAAGCTCTTCTCTGTATAATTGAGATTTTAAAAAATTCACTCATGAGACGTGGACTTCACTGGCCAGGACTGTACTTTTTTGCCCACTGGGCACTTAACAGTTAACCATATTGCTGTGGGTCTGGAGTCACATGCAGAACAGACGAGGTAAGGATGGCTGTTTTGCTAAAGAACATTAATGAACCAATGGGCTTTTCTAAAAATTGGAACTGGATTCATGGTCATTATTGGACATACAAAATTTCAGATTTTTTAAAAAATTGAATTCAAATTCTACATCTGCCATGGTGGAATTCAAACCCAGGTCCCCAAAACATTATCTGAATTAATAGTCCAGCGGTAATACGACTAGGCCATTACCTCTGCCTGTTGCAACCTGGTTGCATTCCTGTTGTTTCAGGTGCTAGGTGAAGATGCACATACCACAAGTATAACCAATGTAAGCTTGTGGCAATATCTAATGTTTAGCAAATTCCGCCATCTTCACAGTGTAAGACTGAGAGAGTTCTGCACTATTGGGGGTGCATTCTTTCAGATAACACAATAAACTCAGACCCCATCTGTGGACATTAAAATTTCCTTGGTACTATTTGGAAGAAGAGCAGGAGGCCTCTCCCTGAACTCCTGGCCAATATTTGCCCCTTAACGAACGTCACTAAAACCAGTCATCACATTGCTGTTTGTGGGAATTGGCTGTGTGCAATTTTGGATGTTGTGTTTTCTAAATTGTAACATTTTAAAAGTTCTTCCGACAGTAATTATTTAGTAAAGCCTTTATGTTGTATTAGGTTCTGCCTGAGATTGAGTTCTAAGTGTTGACTGAGATTGAGAAAATGTGCACTAGTGGCAAGTGAGAGTGATACAGTATGGACAGCCATGATCAAAGCAGACCACAATGTACATTAACAATAAGATTTCTTATCCATCTGTCCACTTGCAGTGAAATCCACGTTCAGGGACTGCGTAGACAGTGAGCTGCTTAAGACACATAACTTGATCGTTCCAGAGGATTATATCGTTGAGAAGCGCACGAGCAGCAAAACACCGATACTTGCAGGTAACGTCTGAGGACCTGCCAACAGCGAATTGAATTCCTAAATATAATATAGTGTGAAAGAGCAAGCCAGTAACTATGGACCCATTCACTCAATGTCAGCAATAAAAAAGATAATGGAATCCTTAACAAAAGTATAACATGAACATGTCTAAGAACAGAAAACAAAGTTACTACGGACTCTAAAAGAGAAGATTGTGTTTGAACAACTTTAATTTTTCAAAATTACAGAAAGATTAGTGGACTGCACATAATATAATTGGGAAGTTAAAATTAGTTTGATAAGGTATCACATTGTATACTGGTGGAGTCAGACAAATAAACCGATAAGATTGATTGATTTATTGTTGTCACATGTACTGAGCTACAATGAAACATGTTGTTTTGCATGTTATACAGGCAGATCGTACCATACAAAGTGGATCAGTGTAGCATAATAGAATGCTGAATACAGTGTTACAGACACAGGGAAGGTGCAGAGAGAGATCAGAATTAACATTTGAGAGGTCCATTCAAGAGTCTGATAACAGGTGGGGAGGAAGCTGTTCTTGAATCTATTCATACATGTATACAAACTTCTTTAGCTTCTGCCCAATGGAAGAGGGTGGAAGAGAGTGTAACTGGGGTGGGGGGGCTTTCATTATTTTGGTTGCTTTCCCAGGCGGTGGGGATTATAGATGGAATCAATGGATGAAAGGCTGGTTTGCATGATGGACTGGGCTGTATTCACAACTCTCTAGTTTCTTGTGTCTTGGGAAGAACAGTTGTCAACCCACGCAGTGATGCATCCAGATAGAACACTTTCTATGGTGCATCTATAAAAATTGGTAAGAGTCCTTGTGGACATGCCTCCTGAGGAAGTAGAGATGTTATTGTGCTATCTTGACAATTGCGTCAGCATGGGTGGACCAGGACAGATTGATGGTGATTATCAAGCTGATAACCATAGAATCTGTACAGTGCAGAAACAGGCCATTATACCCATCAAGTCCACACTGACGCTCTGAAGAGTGTATCCCGCTCAGACCCACCCCCCACGGTGTAACTGTACATTTCCCATGGCTAATCTACCTAGTCTGCATATCCCTGGATTCTATGGGCAATTTAGCACGGCCAATACACATAACCTGCACATCTTTGGACTGTGGGAGGAAACCCACGCAGACACGGGGAGAATGTGCAAACTCCACACAGACAGTCACCCAATGGTGGAATTGAACCTGCGCCCTGGCGCTGTGAGGCAGCAGTGCTAACCACTGAGCCACCGTGCCATGCACAAAATGGAAAATGGAGAGTGAGGGTTGAAGACAGTTGCTCAAATTGGCAAATGGTGCAAAATAATCCAAAAGGATTTTGCTAGATCACTCTTCACTATGTATTTAAATGATTTGGACTAGGAAGGAATCAGATGTATAATTTCAAAATTTGCATATGACGCCAAATCAGGGTGTATATAGGAGAGCTGTGATAAAATACCCTTTATTGCCTTTTTTAATTCATTTTGTGGGATGTGGGCGTCACTGGCTGGCTAGCATTTATTGCCTGACCCTAGTTGCCCTTGAGAAAGTGGTGGTGAGCTGCCTTTTTGAACTGCTGCAGGCCACCAGCTGTAGGTTGACACACAATACTATTAGGAAAGGAATTCCAAGATTTTGACCCAGCAACAGTGACAGAATGGCGATATATTTCAAAGTTAGGATGGTGAGTGTCTTGGTAGGGATTATTCCATTATACTTTTGACTTGCGCCTTGTAGAAGGTGAACAGTCTTTGGGGAGTCAGGAGGTGAGTTATACACCGCAGTATTCCTAGACTTTGACCTGCTCTTGTAACCACTGCAGTTATGTCCAGTTGAGTTTCTGATCAATGATAAACACCCAGAATTTTGATAGTGGGGGATTCAGTGATCGTAACACCATTGAATGTCAAGGGACAGTGGTTAGATTGTCTCTTGTTGGTGATGGTCATAGCCTGGCATTTGTGTGGAGTGAATATTACTTGTCACTTGTCAACCCAAGCCTGGATATTATTCAGATCTTGTTGCATTTGGACATGGACTGCATGTCAGTGTCTGAGGAATCATGAATGGTGCAAAACATTGTGCAATCATTGGCGAACATCCCCACTTCTGACCTTATGATGGAGGGAAGGTCATTGATGAAGCAGCTGAAGATGGTTGGGCCTACGACACTACCCTGAGGAACTCCTGCAGAGATGTCCTGGAGCTGAGATGATTGACCTCCAACAACCATGACCATCTTCCTATGTGTCAGGTATGACTCCAACCTCCAGAGAGTTTGCCCCCTGATATCCATTGATTCCAGTTTTGCTAGAGTTCCTTGATGCCACACTCATTTGAATGCAGCCTTGATGTCAAGGGCTGTCACTCTCGCCTCACCTCTGGAATGTCAGGTAAGAATGGGAGAGATTCCTGATCAACTTGAAATGGAAAGAAATTGGAGCCATTTACAGCATGGAAATAGGCCCTTCAGTCCAACTTCTCCATGCTGCCCAGTTTTCAGTTAATCCCTCCATACCTATCTCATCCATGTACCTGTCCAAATGTTTCTCAAATAACAAAATTGTACTCACCTCCACCACTACCTTTGGCAGCCTATTTGAGACAGTCATCACCCTCTGTGTGAAAACTTTGCCCCTCTGGACCCTTTTGTATCTCTGCTCTCTCACATCAAACTTATGTCCTGTAGTTTTAAACTCCCCCTACTATGGGGAAAAGCTGTTGGTTATACCTCTCATGATTTTATAAGCCTCTACAAGATCATCCCTCAGTCTCCTTCACCCCAGGGAAAGAAGTCCCAGCCTATCCAGCCTCTTCTTATAACCTTAATGATACAGAGTTTTGACAGGGAAAGATAATGATTTGCATGTGCCAGTTTGTCAAAAGAACAATCTGCAGACTACAAAACTGTATTTAAAGCTTAAGAGCTCATTCCTGCAGCTAATCGATTTAACATTTAGCATCGCAAGAAAAAAACCTAATCCGATTTTGTGGAATTTCCTAAGAAAAAAATGCTGTGGTATCAGTGGATTTTGATCAATGAAGTTAAAAAAATTGAGAATGTGAGAGAAATCATGATAATGGAAGAATTCAGAAATAGCATTCCAGTGAACATTAAAACTGATCTAGATAAGCATCAAGTGCCAAAGATCTGAAAACAGCATTTCTGGCAGTTATCTACGATATCTCACACAGTTACATGTGGAGAGATGGTCATGTGGGAATCCTCAAAGAAATTGGAGGGATAGAAAATCTATGGATGGAGCGAACAGAAGGATGCTAAAGCAATAGAGAAAGGCTAAAAAAATGATATAAAGAAAATAAACACATTTCCATTGAATTAAGATTGGACATACCAAAGTTAAGTGCTGCAAGTTAAGTGGGTGTTAATGGAAGTTAAATTGTTGCAGAAATAGGAATTCCAAAGAAATCCTCAGAAAAAGGTATGGTGGGAAAGTGAATGGGTTTAAAACAGCAGCTATAGTACAAAGAGAATATGTTCTCTTAAAGTGAACGAAAATGAGCAATGACTCAGGACAATCAAAAATTTCTTCTTCAACTCTTGATAAAGAGAAATAGATCAATCTATTTGACTCTGGATTTTTTTTCTCAAAAGGATAAAGATTTCCTTAATTTTCAAACATTTGAGGTAAACTAATAAAGTTATTGAGAGACATTGGGTCAAATCAGTCACTGATTCTCACTCTTCTGGAGGTGTTAATGAAGGAGAAAATATTAATTGAAAGTATAGAGGATGGTTCCAAAACAGTCCCATTAAACAGCTGAATTAAAAAGTGCGTTAGTAAATGTGAGTATGTACTTAGAGTTATGCAAAAAATCCATATAGAAGGAATTAATTTTATCTTGTGGAATGACCTGGTTGATTCAAAAATATTTGCCTCACTTAGTGTGGTGGAACAAGCAGTGTAAGTAAAAGACACTTGCTGACATATTTCTAATTCTCTTTTCATCGGATGTGTAGGCCGACATTTATTGCCTGTCACCATGTTCTTGTACCGCTGATGTCCATGGGGTGTAGGTACGTGCACAGTGCTGTTAAAAGGGAATTCCAGGATGTTGGAAGTAACGGTGATATATTTCCAAGTCAGGATAGTGTGTGGCTTGGAGGGGAACTTACAGGTTATGTTCCCATGAATCTGAATCCCTTGTCCTTCTAGTGAGAGAGGTCGGGAGTTTGGAAGGAAGAGGCATGGTGAGTTGTTGCGATGAAACTTGTCAATGGTACACGCTGTTGCCACTATGTGGTGGAGGGAATGAATGTTTACAAAGGTAAGTTGGGTGCCAGTCATTCCCTAAATGACCATCTTACGTTTGGACAAAACAATTTCCTTTAGTGAATTGTGTGTTCATTCAGTGCCTAAAGATCGCAGGATATTACAGGTGCTATGATTTATACCAATTAGTTGACTTAACACTTGCAATATTGCATTTCTGTGCACAATCGTTACATTATAGGATGATGCCAAGTAAAGCATGCAAAGTAGGAGAACAAATTAACATGTGATTTTACATGAGGATCTCCAAGGCTATGGTTTTAGTATAAAAATGCTTACATTTATATGACAACTTTCACAACCTCACAACACTTTATAGCCAATTAAACACTTCCCTTTGAAGTGCAATCTGTGTTGTGAAGGAAATAATGCTGCCAATTTTTGCACAGCAAGATCCTGCAAACAGCAATGGGACAAACCTAAACAGCGGTGTGTCGTGTTCTCAGCCCACACTTTTCCCACTTCACTTAGATTGGCCGGAGACAGAAAGCCTTTGCTGCTCAGCAGTTTCTTAAAAATAATTTACCTCAACTGCCCATCAAATCTCCTTTTGAAATCATTAATCATCTCCGTTTTTATCACCCATGTGGGCAGTGCATTCTAGGTCTTTGGCATCCACTTTTATAAATATGTCTTGCCTCACGTGCTACCTGCATCTCTTACCCTAAACTTTAAATCCACCTCTTAGTTCTTGTACCATCAGCCAAGGGGAACAGTTTCTTCTTCTACCTTGTCTAAATCTTCTGAACCTCTATCAAATCTCCTCTCCTTTTCTCTGAGGAGAACATGCCCAGCTTCTCCAAATTGTTTGTTGTTAAAATTCCGCATCCCTGGAATCATTCCGGTAAATCTCCACTGCACCTTCTCAAGGGCCTTAACATTCCTCTTAATGTGTTTTGACCAGAACGTGATTTAATATTCTATTTGTGGCCTCCAGAATTTGTTAAAGGTTTAATATAACTTCTCTGCTTTTGTATTCAGTACCTCTATTTAGGAAGCCCACTTCTCTTTCAATATTTTGTGTCACCTTTTGAAGAAGCATGTGCACAAACCCTAGGTCCCTCCCTCCTTGTAACTATTTAGGAATATTCAATATAGCATCATGGAAATTTTTTACATTTACTTTGAAGAGAAGACCAGGTCTTCATTTGAAAGTTACCATCTCCAATAATGGAGGACTTCCTCAGTACTGCTTAGAAATGCCAATCTAGATTTTTTATGCTCAGAAGTATGCAGGGGGAAATTGAACTCACCACCTTCTGGCTCGTAAACAAGAATACTACCATTGAACCTACAGCCCTCATCATGTGGATGAGACTGTATTTTTAGCTGTGATTGTTGTGTGGCTCACAGATACCAGAAGGAAATCCATATAAATTAAAATGATGGTTATAGTGAGGACTGTGTTTCTTTTATTTTTTTTGTTCAGCAAAACCTCAGATCTATGTTCCAAAACTTACAAAAACTTTCAAGAAACGGATTTCAAAAAGCCCAGTAGATGATGGATACACAGACTTGAGCCAACCTAAGGCCCCTAGTGGATTATTAGAGTGCAACTCATCTTTAACTTTGCTGTCATCCTCTGAGGAGTCAATTGGTTCAAAAATATCCAAGCCCCAGGTAGGTCTTCCAGTCCAAGTACTTGGATGTCATTAAATACTCAAGTGCTCTGCTTAGGATTTATGTTTGAAAAACTGCATTACATTGCATTGATATTCATTCAGTCTGGCTATAAGAATGTGGTTTTTCTGTTATAAGGCTTAGAAGGTTAATTGGTAAAGTCAGTGTATCACTAGTAAAGATAAAATCCTCTAATGGCCACAGCACTGAAGGAGGCCTTTTTATATTTGCTTGTGGGAGGTGGGTGTTGCTGGCTATGCCAGTATTTACTTTTCTGAATCTGAATGGCTTTCTAGGCCATTTCAGATGGAAGTTAAGAGTCATCCAAATTGCTGTCGGTCTGAAGACACATGGAGGCCAGACCAGGAAGAGATGATAGATTTCCTTCCCTAAAGGTCTTGATGAACCTGTCATTTGCACATGGTCCTGCAAATGTTTTCTTTTCAGGTAAATAATCCAATTCCTTTTGAAAATATCAATTTACCTGACCAACACTACATTCTCAAGCAATATATTCCAGATCCCAATTACTTGTCATGTGAAAAAACTTTTCCTCATGTCACCATTGCTTCTTGCCAATTACCTGACATCTGTGCTCTCTGCTTCACAGTTCTTCCGCCACTGGAAACAATTTCTTTCTCTCTACTTTGTCATTACCCTTATGATTTTACTCCTCTGTCAAATCTCCTTAATCTTTTCTTCTCCAAGGAAAATAATCCCAACTCCTCCAATGCAACTATGTCCCTGGAACCATTTTCATGAATCTATTTTGCACCCTCTCTAAGACCTTCACAAACTTCCTAAAGCCTGATGCCCAGAACTGGCCACAATACTCCAAAGTGAGGCTAAACCTGCAGTTTATGCAGGTTTAACATAACTTCTCTGATATTGTTATGTCTGCCTCTTTTGACAAAGCCCACTTTATCAACCACTCTCTCAGCTTGACCTGTTGCCTACAATGATTTTATGCACATACCCACCCAGATCACTCTGGCCCTGCGCTCGTTGTAGAAGTCTACCCTTTATTTTATATTTCATTCTTTCAAAGTTAATCCGTGCACACTTCTCTGCACTGCATTTCATCTCATCTGCCATTTGCTTGCATGATTCACCAACATGTCCTTTTCATGATCCTACCATTGGTTCACAGTATTTCCATGTTTCATATCATCCGCAAGTTTTAGAATTGTGCGCTGTACACTAAGACCTGGATCCTTACTATGCATAAAGAAGAGCAACATTCCTAATACCAATCCCTGGGGAACTTCACCATAAAACCTTGCTTTAGTCCGACAAACAACCACTGCTCCTTAATTTTGTATCATTTGGCTGCTCTCCCTTTTGTGGGATAAACTGTAATATATTAAATATGTAATATCTATATTTTAATATTATTTATAATAAGCTTCGGGGGTTTCTGGTTTTTGAGTTAGTAACCGGTGGATTCTCTGTATATCTGAAGTTAATAATTAATTTGTAAGCATTTCTGTAACCATAGTGATTTAGTTTAATAAAATTTTTGAAATCTGGCTTTAGAGTGAAGGGGTTTTGTGCATTACTATTCAATGCTACTGTGTGTTTTTTCAAACCTCTTGCTTACACACAGACCCTGTGGTTATCACCTTACTAGTTTAATCCTCCCTCATCGGACTGTACTTGCACTGCCCGCTTTCTGACTTGGCTACTGTGTTGGTTGAACTTTGCATGTCATCTCAGAAAAACATGTGATGTCTCATTCACAGAACAGATAGTTAACGTGATCAGGTGTTACTAACTCTGCCTTTTCCATCATTTAAACTAATCATAAGTACAAGGACTGCCTCATCTGAGAATAATTCTCTAATGTTATGCTTTGCATGCAATTTCCAGGAAGTTTTTTTTTCTGCCATCATATGTCAGCAGTTCCTTTCAGGTTAAACTCTGTCAATTTGGATAGGCAAAGCATGATGGTAAAGTAAATTTCTCCATGTTTTGAAAGAAAGAAAAAACCAACAAGTACCTTTGGAGGGACCAGTTGCCTGTGGCTGATCGAATACAGGCGCGAGAGGATATGGCAAAGTTTGAGAAATGCCACAACTTCCTGAAGAGCCCACGCCACCTGCCTCCTCAAGAAGGAGGCAAATCGCTCATCATTCCAAAAAGGAAGGTGCCAAAGAAAGTTGCTGGAAGACATGTATTTGTAGACCAAAGGTATAAAGTGCCCAGCTTAGTACTGGGGTTTATTTCTAGAGGTGTAGAATTGAAATGTGGAAAAGTTATGTCAAATTCATATAGAAACTTGATTAGACTATGCTTGGGGGTACTGTGTACCCTTTTGTTTTCAAATAACAAAAAGGCTAAAGAATAGGCACTGGAGAAGTCTTGAATGATACTAGAACTGACAGACAATACTTACCAGTAAAAGCTGGGACTCTTTTCTCTGGAATGACATGACAGAAATTTAAAAATCATGAAGAGATTCAATAGGATGAATGTAGACAAGATTTTTCCAGTTTTACTCAAGACAGGAAGCTATAAATATGAGAGAGCCACTGATAAATGCTTTTCAGGAGAAACGTCTTTTTTCAAAAAGTGGTAAGATTGGCTTGCTAGAACATGGCTTAGTTGAGGGGAATAGTATATCTGTCTGGCAATGAACTAGTGGCAAAAATAGAGATAAGTGATTCAGAACTAATTGCCAACACACAGTTGTGGTTGCAAAGTGAACGGAATGAGAAATATACAATATTTGTGAGAGACAGGAAAAATGCCAAAGGAGGAGGAGTAGCCCTGACAGTAGAGGATGGCATTAGAGAAAAAGGATCTGATTTAAGAAGATGAGAAAATTAAATTGGGTATGGGTAGAAATTAGGAATAGCAAAGAACCAGTAAATACTGATGGGGGTAGTTTATAGGCCCCTTAATAGAAGTTATAGTGTTGGTCAAAGCATTAAGCAAGAAGTTGGGGAGGCGGTGGCATTGTGGTCTTATCGCTAGACTGTTAATCCAGAGACCCAGAGAATATTCTGGGGATCTGGGCTCAAATCCCACCATGGCAAATGGTGGAATTTGAATTCAACAAAAATCTGAATCTAAGGGCCTAATGATGACCATGAAACAACTATCAGGAAAAACCCATCTGGCTTACTAATGTCCACATTTGGAGGCCACATTTAGAGTATTGTGCGCAGTTTTGGGCCCCATTTCTCAGGAAGGATGTATCGGTACTGGAGCGGGTTTAGAGGAGGTTCATGAGAATGGTCCCAGGATTGAAAAGCTTAACATGTGAGGAACGTTTGAGGACTCTGGGTCTATACTCGGTGGAGTTTAGGAGGATGAGGGGGGATCTAATTGAAACTTACAGAATACTGAATGGCCTGGACAGAGTGGATGTTGGGAAAATGTTTCCATTGGTAGGAGAGACTAGGACCCGAGGGCACAGCCTTAGAGTAGAGGGAAGACCTTTTAGAACGGAGATAAGGAGAAACTTCTTCAGCCAGAGAGTGGTGAATCTATGGAATTCACTGCCATAGAAGGCTGTGGAGGCCAGGTCGTTGAGTATATTTAAGACGGAGATAGATAGGTTCTTGATTGTCAGGGGGATCAAGGGTTACCGGGAAAAAGCGGGAGAGGAACTTTTCAGCCATGATTGAATGGTGGAGCAGACTCGATGGGCTGAATGGCCTAATTTCTGCACCTATGTCTTATGGTCTTATGGTCCTTTAGGGAAGAAAACTGCCATCCTTACCTGGTCTGACTTACATTGTGCAGGCCAGTCCGGGTAAGGACGGCACTTCTTTTTCCTAAAGGATATTCGTGAACCAGATGGGGTTTTTTATGACAACTGACAATGATTTCTTGGTCATCATTAGTCTTTTAATTGAAGATTTTTAGTGAGTTCAGATTCCAGCAACTATCATGCTGGTATTTGAACCCCCAGAACATTATCTAGTCTACTAGTCCAGTGATAACACCGCTAGGTCATCACCTCTCCTAAAATTAACCAGAACAGAAGCATTAGTCTTTAATAATGTGAAAATGATGAGAAGTAGAAGAGTCTGTGAGGTGCAGTGTTTGTCTTCAATCAAAACATTCAGTATCAAAAATAATAAAGCATTGGGGGAGGAGCACGGTGGCTCAGTGGTTAGCACTGCTGCCTCACAGTACTAGGAACCTGGGTTCAATTCCACCCTAGTGCAACTGTCTGTGTGGAGTTTGCACATCCTCCCTGCGTCTGTGTGGGTTTCCCCTTGGTGCTCTGGTTTCCTCCCACAGTCCAAAGATGTGCAGGTTAGGTGGATTGGCCATGCTAAATTGCCCATAGTGTCCACAGATGTGCAGGCTAGATGGGTTACCCATGGGAAATACAGGGTTACAGTGATACGGTAGCGGGGTAGCACTGGATGGAATGCTATTCAGAGGGGTAGTGTGGACTTGATGGGCTGAATGGCCTGCTTCCATACTGTAGGGATTCTATTCGATGAATACCTGGATGTTTTTTGTGAGATTAATGTATAATGTTGTTTCTTTTTGTGTCGCAGTGACCCCAATGAGCCTATTCCCGTCTTTCTGGCAAATCCACCTATTATTCTGTTCACAAACTACAAAGTGGGACAAGTGTATGAAGTGAGTACAAGTGGTTCAGTAATTTCAAATAATTAAGTTAAATAATTTGATTGTGTTTTCCCCCTTCTTCTCCCCAGCCACCTCAAGCCATCCATGAGGCTGTGAGTTACATGGATGGCACGTTTAGGGAAGTCGTCACATCACAGCTTAAGCAACTGGAGGAAGGGACTGAAGGAAATAGGTGACTGCCAGGCAGACCATGAGAAACAGGCAGGTAGTGCAGAAGTCCCCTGGAGTCCCATTGCATATCAGTTTTCCATTTTGGAAGCTGATGAGGGCTGATCCCTCAAGGAAGTGAAGTCAGAACCAAACTTCTGGTATTGTGAGAACAACTGAACAATGGGCTAATTTTAAAAGAACAGAGGGTTTGGGTACAGTTGGGGTATACTCCTTCAAATGGAAGATAAGACAAACAAATCCAGAGTTCCCTGGATGACAAAGGAGTTAGAAATTAATATTAGAAAGAAAAAAGGCTGCTTACGACGGGTTAAGGTGGGAAATACGATTGAGAACCAACAGGAATACTGAAGGTTTAAAGGGGAGTTGAAAGAGCAAATAAGTAGCAGTGCTGACCACTGAGCCACCGTGCGAACAGAGCTGCGTCCAAGATTTTGAAGGAAATTGGAGTAGAAATTGCAGGGACCCTGGCCATGATCTTTCATTATCCCTGCACTCGGGCAAGGTGCCAAAATACTGGAGACATTGTCACCTTGTTCAGGAAAGATTGCAAGGATAATCCCAGCAATAATTTTGGTGGTGGGAAGGCTTCTAAGACCAGTTCTTTGGGATAGAATTAGCAGCCACATGGAAAGTGATGGGTTGGTCAGGATGAGTTGGAAACATAGAAAATAGGAGGAGGAGTAGCCATTTGGCCCTTCAATACAATCATTGATGACCATCCAACTCAATATCCTGTTCCTGCTTCCTCCCCATTCCTTTAATCACTTTAGCCCTAAGAACTATATCTTAACTCCTTGTCGAAAACAGTCAATGACCTGGCCTCATTCACTTCTTGTGGTAGAGAATTCCACAGACTAACCAGTCTCTGGGTGAAGAAATTACACATCTCAGTCCTAATGGGCCAACCCGTATCCTTAACCTGTGTGATCCCTGATTCTGGACTTCCCAGCCATCGGGAACCTCCTTCCTCTGTGTACCCTGTCTAGTCCTGTTAGAATTTTGTATAGGCTTTTATGTGATTCCCCCACCCTCAGTATTTTTTTAAATTCGTTTAGGGGACATGGGCATTGCTGTGGGCCAGCATTTATTGTTGTAAATGCCAGTCAATATCGTCCTAACAGGTCAAATCTCTCTTCATACATCAGCCCTGCCATCCCAGGAATCAATCTGGTAAACCTTTGCTGCACTCTCTTCAAAGTCATAACATCCTTCCTCAGAAAAGGAGACAAAAACTGCATGTAGTACTCCAGGTGTTCTCTCACTGAGGTTCTGTATAATTGCAGCAAGGCATCCCTGCTCCTGTACTCGAATCCTGTTGCTATGAAGACCAACGTACCATTTGCCTGCTGCACCTGCATTCTTACATTCAGTGATTGTGAACAAGGACATCCAGGTCTTGTTGTGCCTCCCCCTTGCTCAACCTATCACCATTCAGATAATAATGTTCCTTCCTGTTTTTGCTGCCAAAGTGAATAACTTCACATTTATCCACATTATACTTCATCTGCCATGCGTTTGACCACTCAATCAACTTGTCCAAATCACGGTGAAGCACCTCTGCACCCTCCCAGTCAGCTTTGTTTTACCTGTGTCGGCTTTGAGTCAGCATCGATTTCTAAAGGAAAAATCATATTTAACTACCTTGCTGGAGTTTTTTGAAGAGATATAAGAAAGGCTCAGTGTGGTAACATTTTTGAAGTGGCATATTCCCAGAAAGCATTTGATACAGTGCGACAAAACAGACTTGAGAGGAAAGTTATAGGTCATAGTATATGAAAGGGACAGTAGCTACATGGATACAAAATAGTCAGTGGGTATTTTTCAGGTTGTAGGAAGGTTTGTAGTGGAGTTCCCCAGGGATTGGTATTGGGACCCTTGCTTTTCCTGATATATATTAATGATCTGGATCTGTGTGCAGGGAACAATTTGATAGTTTGCAGATGACATGAAACTTGGAATAATTGTAAACTGTGAGGGGGATGGTGTGGATCTCCAAAAGGACATTGACAAGTTGATGGAGAAGGTTGATAGGACACAGATGAGCTTTAATGCAGAGAAGTTTGAGATGATGCACTTTGGTCAGAAGAACATTGGAAAACAAGACAAAATATGGGGTACAATTTTACAGTCTGTGCAAGAGCAGAGGACCTGGTGTATATGTGCACAGATGATTGAAGGAGGATTCAATTGTCCTGTCCAGAGACTGAGCACAACATCTAATCTGAGACTCCAGTCTATTACTACACTGTTTGAGGTTCTGACGTTTGGATGAGATGTTAAACAGATCCTCTATTTGCCCCATCAGGTAGACATAAAAGATCCTATGGCACTATGAAAAGAATAGCCAGGGAGTTATCCCAGTGTCTTGGTCAACATTTATCTCTCAATCAACATCAGAAAGAAAATCACAAAAGTAAAGTTTGTTGGGTGATTGCTATTTGTGAGACTTTGCAGTGTTCAAATTGACTACGGTATTGCCTACTTTGTTCCAGTGATCACACTTCAAAGAGTAACCAATTCAAAGTTTCTCTTCAAAGTCCATTGTGATATTATCAGGTTGTGAAAGGTGCTATATAAATGCAAGTCATTCTTTCTCCAAATGTTTCTATTCATTTGTGGGATGTGAGTGTGGCTGGTTGGCCAGCATTTCTTGCCCATCCCTAGTTGCCCTATTTCTAAGTCAGGATGGTGAGAGGATTGGAGGGGGACTTGGAGGTGGTGGTGTTTCCATATGTCTGCTGCCCTTGTCCTTCTAGATGGAAATGGTCATGGGTTTGGAAGGTGCTGTCTGAGGATCTTTGGTGAATTTCTGCAGTGCACGTTGGAGATGGTATACATTGCTGCTACCATCGGTGCTGCATACTTGTGGATGTAATGCCAATCAAGCGGGCTGCTTTGTCCTGGATGGTGTTAAGCTTCTTGAGTGTTGTTGGGGCTGTACTCGTCCAGGCAAGTGCGGAGTATTCCAACACACTCCTGACTTGTGCCTTGTGGATGGTGGACAGGCTTTGAGGAGTCAGGGGGTGAGTTACTGGCCACAGTATTCCTAGCTTCTGGCCTGCTCTTGAGGCACTGTTATATGTGGTGAGTCCAGTTGAGTCTCTGGTCAATGATGACACCCAGGATGTTGATAGTGGGGGATTCAGTGATGGTAAAACCATTGAATATCAGGGTGCGGTGGTTAGATTGTCTCTCATTGGTGATGGTCATAGCCTGGCATTTGTGTGGTGCCAATGTCACTTGCCACTTTTCAGCCCAAGCCTGGATATTGTCCAGATCTTGTTGCATTTGAACATGGACTGCTTCAGTATCTAAGGAGTCACAAATCGTGCTGAACATTGTGCTATCATCAGCAAACACCCCACTTCTGATGGTGGGAAGGTCATTGATGAAGCACCTGAAGATGGGTGGGCCCAGGACACTACCCTGTGGAACTCCTGCAGAGATGTCCTGGAGCTGAGATGATTGACCTCCATGCTACACACGGTCGAATGCAGCCTTGATATCAAGGGCTGTCACTTTCACCTCACCTCTGGAATTCAGCTGTTTTGTCCATGTTTGAACCAAGGCTGTAATGAGGTCAGGAGCTGAGTGGCCCTGGTCGAACTCAAACTGGGCGTCACTGAGCAGGTTATTGCTGAGCAGGTGCTGCTTGATAGCACTGTTGATGACACCTTCCATCACTTTACTGATAATTGAGAGTAGACTGATGGGGAGGTAATTGGCCGGGTTGGATTTGTCCTGCTTTTTGTGTACAGGACATACTTGGGCAATTTTCCACATTGTCATGTTGATACCAGTGTTTTAACTGTACTGGAACAGCTTGGCTAGGGGAGCGGCAAGTTCTGGAGCACAAATCTTCAGTACTATTGCTGGAATGTTGTCAGGGCCTGTAGCCTTTGCTGTATCCAGTGTTTCCAACCGTTTCTTGATATCACATGGAGTGAATCGAATTGGCTGAAGACTGGTATCTGTAACGCAGGGGACCATGGAGGAGGCTGAGATGGATCATCCACTCGGCACTTCTGGCTGAAGATTGCTGCGAATGCTTCAGCCTTATCTTTTGCACTGATATGCTGGGCTCTTCTATTATTGAGGATGGGGATATTTGTGGAGCCTCCTCCTCAAGTGAGTTGATTAATTGTCCACCACCATTCACGACTGGATGTGGCCAGACTGCAGACCTTAGATCTGATCCATTGGTTGTGGGATCGCTTAGCTCTGTCTATCACTTGCTGCTTTCGCTGTTTGGCGTGCAAGTATTCCTGTTTGGTGGCTTCAACGGGTTGATACCTCATCTTCAGGTATGCCTGGTGCTGCTACTGGCATACCCTCCTTCACTCTTCTTTGAACCAGGCTTGATTCCCTGGCTTGATGGTAATGTTTGAGTGGGGGATATGCATGAGGTCACCATGAGGTTTTAATGGCTGAAATATGCATTTAAAATATTTATAGCCTTTGCAGAAGAGAAGGAAAAGAGCCCGTCCATGTGACTAGCTGCCTTTAAATTTGGCAATATCTTTTTTGAAGACCGTACATTTTACAAAATTATTTTACTTTTTAAGTAAATGTGTTTTTGCCACCACAGAATCAGTGGATACAAGAATTTAAAGTAAACATTTATACACTATTATGCCACAACATAATTTCAAAGATTTGCTTGGCAGATTATCTTTTTCATATATTGAAGTACAGGTAACATAAAGGTAAAGTCACAATAGTCTTCCCAGACCATAGGGCTGCTCTCTCATTAGGAGGTAATGAGTGGTGATAGTTTAACCTGAGGGTCAATATCTTAAGGTTACCTTCTTGGTAACCTG